TATGAACTCGGGGGCGGGGGGGAGGGGTTGCAGGCACTGCCCCCGGCTTCGGGGGGGCGGGGAAGGTTTTAGGGGTCGCGCGGCCGACGCGGCCTGTGCTTCTGAGGTGGAGTCTCGTGGCTTTGACCTTGAGGAACCGCAGTGAATCATGTGGGCGGGCAGCCAGGGGCTGGGGAAAAACTCGCGGCATTAAAACAATATTTTTATGGATTTCAGAGAGGCCGGGAGAGGGAGAGAGAATCCTCCGTGATGAGAGAGAGTCACTGGCCGGCCGGCTGCCTCCTGCACGCCCCCCACTGGGGATGGAGCCGCAACCCGGGCCTGTGCCCCGACCGGGAATCGAACCCTGACCTCCTGGTTCCTAGGTGGACGCTCCGCCCCTGAGCCACACCGCCTGGCAAAGGGGATCGTTTTGACGCCGACCATATCCATGCCCCTTGGTGACAGCGGGGGAGACGCTGGTTCACTTGTTTTGGGACTGTGGTCGGCAACTCACCCGTCCACAGAGCCAGCTATCAACAGCACCACTGACATCTCTTGGAGAGCCCCATTTTTAAAACGTAAACTGCTTCCAACGCCACTTCTTCAACTAGGACTCGCCCAGGCCGGGGTGTTTTGTGGAAGGAGCCGCAGGCAAGGGGCCAAGGAGCCGCCATTTGCCGACCATGGTTTTGGGAGCAGCTGGTGTCTGGAACGGCCACGCTCTCGCCACCAGGGGTCGCTGCAGGACCGCGGATGCCGCTGTCCCCGGTGGTCCTGCCGCCTGGGGCTGTCCCCGGCCTCGCCCTGGGGTTTGGGGGATCCGGTTCCGCTCCCCCACCTTCGATGCATGAAAACCGCCTCCCCTCCGCGCCCCAGAGTTCACCGTTTGGGGAGCAGTTGGAAGGGATGTCCAGCCGAAACCGGTGCGGCTCAGCGGTAGAGCGTCGGCCTGCGGACGGAAGGGTCCTGGGTTCGATTCCGGTCAAGAGCACGTACCTTGGTTGCGGGCACATTCCCAGTGGGGGGGGGTGTGGGGGGCGACTGATCAATGTTTCTCTCTCATCGATGTCTCTATCTCTCTCCCTTTCTCTGTAAAAAAAAATCAATTAAAAAAATAGATATATAAAAAGGAAGTGATGTCCGTTCCCTGTCTCTGAGGGCAGCAGCGTCCCCCACAGTCAACTCCCGGGGATCAGCAACCCCCCTGCCCCGCCCCCCCCAACCAAAAAAAAGGTGGACAAACAAACAAAAAAATCAGAGGAGGAAGAATTGAAATTGGATTGAAGGAGGCGGAGAGCATGGTCTGGGGCGCTGGCGCCGGGGTGGGGCCTCCTGTGGAACAGGGTGGTGTCTGTGGCCGGGCGGGACTCGGAGGCCACGGGTCTGCGGCTCCAGACGGAAACCCCACGGGAGCCGGGGCGGCCGGGCCGAGGGGAGCCAGCTCTCGTGGAAATTCACAGCCCGCGCCACCCCTGGCTTCCTCGGGGACTCTCATTAAGAGGAAAGTAACAGCCGGGCCGGGGTGGGTCAGTGGTGAGCGTCGGCCTAGGAACCAGGAAGTCAGGGTTCGATTCCCGGTCGGGGCGCAGGCCTGGGTTTCATCCCCAGAGGGGCCGGCAGGAGGCAGCCGGTCCGCGATGCTCTCGGGATGGATGTTTTTCTCTCTTTCTCTCCCTCTGCCTTCCTCTCTGAAGTCCATAAAAATGTTTTATTTTATTTTATTTAAAAAAGAGGAAGAAGGAAGAGAGTTCTAATAATCCGGAGGTTTGCCCAGACAACCTGCCTCCTCCCCACCCCCCAGCCTGTGGGGGTGTCTCCTGCCCCCACTCCCGACGTGGCCACTCTGCCCCCCCTGCCGCCCCCCTGTCTTCTCGGGTGCGAGTCTGGCGGTGACGAGGGGTGTGAGCCACACCTGGCCCGTCCCTGCCTCCGGCTGCAGGGCCACCGCCGCCCCCCCGGCCCCTGTTCCCCGCCCCGCCAGGGCCGGGCCGGCGGTTCTGGAAACGGCTGCTCAGAACATTTGTTTTATCCAAAGACAGCGGCCGTGTCGGAGCTGGCTGCACACAGCGCGGCCAATTAGCGCGACTTAATTACTGACAGAACGGCTTCCAAATTGATTCCCGGCCGAGGGGGGAGCGCGTGGCTCCGCGGGAGGCAGAGGGCCCGGAATCCATCCGCAGGAGAGGGGCGGGCGCGGCCGGGCGGGAGCCAGCGCCCGTGCCGGGGACGCGGCCGAGGCCCCCTCTCCCGGGGCGTGTTGGGGTGCAGGTTCCCGAGCCCCTCCCCAGACCCGGGGAATCAGAGACATTTGCGGGGGCGGGGGTCCCCACTCCGGGTTTTAACCCGCGTGCAGAGTGCGGGGGGCGCTGCTCAGGGTTCAGACCCCCAGGACACGGATCTCCTCCGTCATTTGCCGCACGCAGGCCGGGGAGTTTCTAGGGGGATGCACCGGGAACAGGCGGGCGTGGAGGAAGTAAAAGGGAGCCGGCCGGGGTGGTTCAGTGGGTTGAGCATCACCCCAATCACCGGGAGGTCGAGAGGTCCCTGTTGGATTCGGGGTCCGGACACCTGCCTGGGTTTCGGGATCAGTTCCCCAGCAGGGGGCGCGCAGGAGGCAGCCGGTGGCTGTGGAGCGCTCACATCCATGTTTCTCTCTCTCTCCGTCCCTCTCCCTAACTCTCTCTCCTTCAAATCAATAAAAACTTATTTTAAAAAAAGAAATAAAAGGAGAAACAGAAAGACACACGTAGGTCCCACATCCAGGAGGGCCAGTCTGGAGTGAGCGGGGCCGTCTCAGCGGGAACGCCAGGCCCCCTCGCTGGCCTCCCCCAGGCAAGTGCCCGTGTCTCCGCCATCGCGGCCCGAGGGGGACCCTGCCTCCCCCTCCGCCCTCCGCGGTGGCCCCCCGGGCTCCTGGCGGCTGCCGGCCACCGTGGACGCTGGCACTGCTCTGAGGTCTGAGCGGCTTGGTTCAAGGTCCCGGAGGGACCCAGTCCTCCCCCTGACACTCTGGCCGCCGCCCCTGCCCTGCGTGTGGGCTTCCGGCGTCTTCCTCAGGGCGTGGGCAGTGCAAAGACAGGGTCCTCTCCTCCCCTCTCCTCCCCTCCTCTCCCCTTCCCTCCTCTCTCCTCTCCTCCCCTCTCCTCCCCTCCCCTCCCCTACTCTCCGCTCCCCTCCCTTCCTCTCTCCTCCCCTCTCCTCCCCTCTCCTCCCCTCCCTCCCTCCCCTCCCCTCCCCTCCCTTCCTCTCTCCTCCCCTCCCCTCCCCTCCCCTCCCCTCCCCTCCCCTCCCCTCCCCTTTCCTCCTCCCCTCCCCTCCCCTCCCCTCCCCTCCCCTTTCCTCCTCCCCTCCCCTCCCCTCCCCTCCCCTCCCCTCCCCTCCCCTCCCCTCTCCTCCCCTCCCCTCCCCTCCCCTCTCCTCTCCCCACGGCCTAAGGCAGTGGTTCTCAGCCTTCCCAATGCCTCAGCCCTAACTCAGCTCCTCATGTCGTGGTGACCCCAACCATAACACGATCTTCCTTTCTACTTCACAGCTGTGATTTGCTCCTGTGAATGCATCGTGACGTAAAACCTGTGTTTTCCGTCGGACTCAGCTGGCCCCTGCGAAAGGGTCGTGGGACCTCAAAGGGATGCGGCCCGCAGGGTGAGGGCCTGAGGCCCGGTGGCTCCCGTGGGAATTCCTTTTAAAAGCGCGTCTGTGCCCATCTCAGAGCGGGAGAGCGAGACAGACACACCCATGATGAGAGAGAATCCGCTGCCTCCTGCACGCCCCCGCCCCCCTCCCTGGGGATCCAGCCCGAACCCGGGCATGTGCCCAGACTGGGAATCGAACCCGGGACCCTTCAGTCCGCAGGCCGACGCTCTGTCAGCTGAGCCGCACCCGCCAGGGCTCCAATGGGGATTCTTTTAGGGTCGCTGACCGCGCACTCATTCCGGGACGGGGTGAGGGGGCCCTCAGGATGGCAGGCCTGAGGTCAGAGGTCAGAGGCTCTGCCGTCCAGAGATGGCTGGGCTTGTGGGGTGCGGGGTGAGGGGCCCCCGCAGAGATCCCTCCCCCGCTGCCCCCTCCTACCCCCCCTCCGCCCCCTCCCTGCCCCCCTGACCTCCCCGTCAGAGGGCCCCTCCCCTGGGTCTGGGGAGAAAGGGAGGGCCCTGGCCGCCGGGACACCTGTCGGGGGCCCCCCCGGAGCTGACCAGTCCCCCTGGCCCCCCGAAGCCCCTCCCGCCCGCGCTCGGGGAGGGGCGCCCGGAGGGGGGCGCGGGGGCGGGCGGGGGAGGTGGGTTCAGTCTGCGGATTGGGGCTCCGGGCTGTCACTCCGGGAGGGTGGGGCTTCGGGGGAAGAAAAGGGCAGTTTCCCCGCGGAGCGCGGAGCCGCGCGGGGCACTCGGGCGGGCGCTCGCCTCCGCGGCCGCGGCGGGTCCTCCTCCTCATCCTCCTCCTCCTCCGCCGCCGCCGCCGCCGCCGCCGGGAGCTCCGCGCCGGGGGCCGGGCCGGGGGGGCCCGTGGCTGCGCCCCAAACTTCGGCGTCACCCCCCCCTCCCGGGGCGCGGCCGGGCGGGATGGGGCCCCGCGCTCCGCCCCGCGCGCCCCGCCGCCCGGCCCGGAGCCCCCGCGCCGCCCCCGCCGCCGCCCGCGCGCGCGGAGCCGCCCTCGCCCGGCCCTCCGGGGGCCGGTCCGCGCTCCGGTCACCGGGGAGGGACCCGGGTCCGCGGGGATCGGAGTGAAAAGCCCCGGAGGAGCGGGAGGGCTGGGGGTGGGGCTCGCCCGCGCGCCGGGCGGTGGAGAGAACTCCCGCCCCCGGGGCCATGGACACGCGGGCCGGGCGCGCAGGGCCCCGCGGCCGCCCGCACCCCTAGCCGCACCCCCTCCCCCCTCCCGGGCCCGCACCCCCTTCCTCCTCCTGGCCCCGCACCCCTTCCCCCCTCCCGGCCCCCAGCCCCGCGCCGGCCTCCGGGACTCGGCGGCCGCGTCCCCCGCTCCGGACGCGCCGGGGCGGCGGCTCCGCCTGCGGCTCCAGGATGCGCCCGCCGCGTCGGCCCCCCGCGCTGCTTGGCCTGGCCGCCCTGCTCGCCACAGGTGAGGCCCGCGGCCCGCGGTCCGGGACCAACTTCGCGGGGAGCGCGCGGGGGGAGCGCGTGGGCGGGTGCGGGCGGGTGCGGGGCCGGGGGGCGGCACCGAGGGCGCGGGGGTGCGCGCGCGTGGCCGGCGAGTCTGCGGCCCCTTTGCGGCAGGGGCGGCCCCGGAGGACGGGGAACGGGGGGAGGGGAGACCTTAGCCCGGTCCCCCCAAAGCGTGCTCGGCGTGGGGGCCCCGGAGGGGAGCGGGCAGGGCGGGCGGAGTGGAAGGGGGGGCGCCCCACGACCTGCAGGAGGTGAGGGGCCGCCCGTCCCACTGCGGGTGCGGGTGCGGGTGCGGAGGCCGCCGGGCTCCGGGCTGCGGGACCCGCGTTGCTTAGCGCCCGGTGTGCAGCCTCCGGCGCCCGTTGGTCCCCCCTCTCCCCGCTCCGCTGCAGCCGCCAGCCCCAACTTGTCCCCCGAGTTCCCAGCAGCCGGGGTGGGGTCCCTCTCAGCGCCGTGAGCCGGGCCAGCTCTGCATTTGTGTGTGACCCCCTTTCCGGGGGGCCCTACAGAGAGGAGGTTCTGGGGTCCCCGTGCGCCCCCAGTTCCTGGAAGCAGAGCCTCCCCGAGCTCTCACGTCGGGGGCGGGGCGGGGGGGATGGGGGGAAGGCTGCTGCGGGAGGGCCGGCGGCTCCGATGGCGTTAGAGCCCCGGGACTGAGGGAGCCGGACCACCCGGAGGAGAGAGGCCATGGAGTCCGCTGGACCCGGCAGGCGGCGGTTAGAGGCCACCCTCCCGCCGGCAGTGAGCGTCCACCTGTGAACCAGGAGGTCAGGGTTCGATTCCCGGCCAGGGCACAGGCCCGGGTTGTGGGCTCCACCCCCAGTGCGGGGCGTGCAGGAGGCAGCCGGTCCGTGATGCTCTCTCATCACGGATGTTTCTCTCTCTCTCTACCTTCCTCTGGGAAATCAATAAAAATAAATTAAGAAAAGCCAAGTGCATGTGCCAGCAGCCTGTCACACACACACACACATTCACTCACACATACACACTCACACACACACATACAAACACACAGATTCACACTCACACAGATATACTCAAACATGCAGACATTTAGACACACAAACACACAGTTTCACACTCACACATACACTCTCACACACATACACACACACACTCACACAGATATACTCAAACATACAGACACATAGACACACAAACACACAGATACACACACTCACACATACACTCACACACATACACACAGTCTCACACACACACACGCGCGCGCACACACACGGCTCCGGGGCGCGTCTTACTGGCTGTCACGCCTCTGGTTGTGGGGAAGGGCCAGAACGGCTGTCCTCGGGGTCTGACCGGGCCATCCGGGTGGTGGAGGGGCTGCCGCGGTGGCATCTTCCCGAGACGGAGCCATTGGAGGAGCCAGTGTCCCCTAAGTTCCCTCCCCTCCCCGCGCCTCCGGGCTTTTCCTGGGCAGGAGGAGCCGTGACCCGGAGGTCGGCGCGTGGCAGTGACACGGGAGCCGGGACACGTGGCGTGGGACGTGTCCGTGTGTCCAGCTCAGAGAACTCGGAGCCGCCGTGCGCACAGGTGTGACGGCGCGCGGTCCTGGGCCCGGGAAGCGGTGCGGGGCCGTTCTCACCCCGCTCCCGCCCCTCGCGGCGCGGCACGGACTTCCTGTGCGGATGGCACTCCCCCAGGCCAGGTCCCGCCGCTCCCGTCCCGTGTGTCCGGCCGCCTCCTCCGCCGGGGCCTCCGCCGCCGGAGCTCTGCTGGCCTCCCCGCGGACTGAGCGGAGGGTGTGAGGAGGCCGGTGCCGAACCGCCGAGGACACAGCTCCGGAGAGCGGCCGTGGGTGCTGGGCCTCCTAAGCCGGCTCCCTCCCACGCTCTGGGGGTCATAATTTTCATTTATTTAAAAAACATTTTTATGGCTTTCAGGGAGGAAGGGAGAGGGAGAGGGAGAGGGAGAAACATCGACGAGAGACAATCATGGACCGGCTGCCTCCTGCACGCCCCCCACTGGGGATGGAGCCGGCAACCCGGGCCTGTGCCCTGACCGGGAATCGAACCCTGACCTCCTGGTTCCTAGGTCGATGCTCAGCCCCTGAGCCAGGCCGGCCGGGCACACAGACTCTTTAGGGCCTTTTTATCGGAAATTTATGAAAATCTTTGTGGTGATTTTGCTCTTGAGAGTCATTGCTGACATGCAGTCTCACACGGGGAGCGCCGGCCGTGGCCCGTTCGGAGGTCCGCCCTCGGCGAGCCCGGACGGGGGGGTGGGGGGAAGGGCCTTCAGAGCTGGGAGGGCCCCCTCTCTCGGGCCAGAAAGTCCCCGCTCCGCAGCACCGCCTGGGTTTGACTCCGTCCTTCCTAACAACGGGTTTTAGTGCGGACGCTGCGTGACCGCCTCGGACCCGAGCCTCCTCTCTCCTGGGCTCACGCCCCTCACGCCCCTCACGCCCCCCAGCCCCAAGGCTCCGTGTTTTGTGTTTCTCCTGGCCATTCCCACCCCTTTCCTGTGTGATTACATAAGGGATGTGTCAATATCGTGCATTCAGGCACCTGGCGGTTGTCAGTGGGTCGCTCCGGGGGGCTCTGTTCCGTGCAGGGTTTGATTTATGTCTGGCGTCCCCAGGGGATCTCAGTGATGAACGAGCTGGAGTCTCGCTCTGATCGCTGGCTGTTGCATCAGAGGGAGAGTCCGGTAAACGTGTGAGAAAGTCAGTATGGGTGGACTTGGATATTTTATTAACACCACGCTCTACCCCACTGGCCAGCTTAGATGTCAATCTTTTAATAAGAAGTCTTCTTTAAACTTTGTTTATTATTCAATCATACTCATTTTTTTAAGTGTTATTTTTAAAATTTAATTCTTAAAAAAAAGAGTCTATGTGGAGTGATAGTGGGCATGGTTTAATCAATCAGTCTGTGGAGAACCGACTCTAAACGTGGTGTCTTCAGCCTGGCCGGCGTGGCTCAGGGCTGAGCGTCAATCTGTGAGCCAGGAGGACATGGGTTTGGCTCCGGGTCCGGCACAGGCCCGGGTTGTGGGCTCCATCCCCGGTGTGGGGCGTGTAGGAGGCAGCCGGTCCATGATCCTCTCTCGTGGATATTTCTCTCCCTCCTCTCTCTCCTCTCCGACACTAACACCGTGTGCATTTGAAAACGGCATTAACACGAGGGGCCTCGTTACTGCTGACGGGGGGATGGGGGCTGAGGACAGAGGGACGCGCTCCGGGCGGAAGTTGGGAGGGGGAGGGGGGGTCTCCCCAGGAGCGAGACGCAGGGCTGATTAAAGTGGGATTTCATCGCGGCTCCGCTCCGATCGAGGGAAATCAGAGTCACCGACCTAATTAGACAGCCCGCTGGGGCCGGAGACGCCCCGGGGCGACGGTTCGTCCTCCTTCTCCGGCTCAGAGGCGGTCTGCGGTCTGCGGGACTGTCCCCTCTCCCCCCGCAGTGCCCCCTGCAGGGGGGCTGGGCGACAGCACCCCGAGGCCTGCGAGGCTGCCGGGGCCTTAAACATGATCCTTTCATACGTGCACACATGCAAACGCATGGGTGTGTGCTCGTCCGTATGGCACATGCACGAGGCAACACACAATGCGTTACAGATGTACCCGTGTACGCACACGTGTACATACTATGCACTAGCTGGTGCGTTATGCATGTAAACATGTACACATAGGCATACCGTTTAATATATGATGTGCTGCGTATACACACGTGCACGCATGTGTGTCTATGAAATGTAATAGACACATGGAACAGGTGTATATGTGTGCATGTGTGTGTACTAGCATATAGTGTGTTACATGTGTATAGTGTATATATGTGTGTATATATACATACACACTGAGTGGCCGGATTATGATGATCTCTGAACACATAATAATCTGGCCACTCCGTGTCTATCCTATAGAATAAAAGGCTCAGATGCAAATGGTCCCCTTGATCAGGAGTTCGACCAGCAGGCAGCCTGGCCAACCGTCCATGTCCCCTCCTCCTGGCTAGACTGGCCGGACCCCACCCACGCACGAATGCATGCACCAGGCTACACACACACACACACACACACACACACACACACACTGAGAGGCCAAATTATTATGCGTTCAGAGATCATTATCTGTCCACTCAGTGTACGCACTGTTTCCAAATTTGAGCCTCAGCACTGTGATCAAGTTGAATGAACTTAACCGATATTGAAAGTTTTATCTTAAAAACATACTTTCATTGATGTCAGAGAGGAAGGGAGGGGGAGAGAGAGGAACATCCGTGATGAGAGAGCATCATGGGTCGGCTGCCTCCCGCAGGCCCCCCGGGGACCGAGCCTGCAGCCGGACCGCTGAGGCTCGCCGGCCAGCAGCTTTACAGATTCCTAAACGGAGAGGTGTGGACGGGGATGGGAGGGCTGGTCCGCCTCACCTGCTCTGAGAGGTCAGGGCTGATCGCTCAGCGCTCGGCTGAGACGTGGGTGGTGGAGGCAGCTGCACCTGTGAGTCTCAGGATTGGCCGTGATTGGCGTTTCCTGCCCGCGGATGAGGGTGAATCCCATCCCCTTAAGGAGAGGGAGGGCAGGGCCGGAGCCGGGGTATCCTCTCTGGGGCCCCCATTCCCCAAACGAATGCTTTTCTAAAGTCTCTTTTCATTCGTGTGCGGCCTTCTCCGGAACCTGAACCCTGAACCGGAACCCTGAGCCACGGGGGACGTGAAAGGGCTCCCACAAAACACTGACGTGGTGGGGAGCCACCGGTGGGGAACACGCCTCACGCGTCAGGTGTGCCGTTCCGGGACTCGCCACCCGTGTCCCACGGCGAGGCCCCCCCAGCGTGTCCTGGGACCGTGAGCGTGCAGACGCCCGTGTGTGCACGGAGCACGACCGTGAGCAACTGTGTCCCAGACACAGGCCCACGGCGGCCAATCCATGATTTTCTCTCCTCATAGACGTTTCTCTCCCTCTCCCTCTCCCTTCTCTGAAATCAATAAGAAA